GTCCCAGCCCCAGGACTCGCTATCACTGCCAACTAAAGAAGTGTAGCCCACCGAGTGCAACGGGGCATCTGCTGTGGCCACGCCCACCACCGCATGTGTGCCCCGTTGCCTAGCAGGCCAATGGATCCTCCAAACGTGGAGTCCTCGCGTGTATCCCACCCTTCCACGAATGCCATCGGTACTCTGGGCAACAGGGTGTCGATGGAAGGTGAGTTTGTCATCGTCCTTGATGAAGATATTAAGCGAGCGGTCGTCTGGGTTCCAGGCATGTCGGAGCTGCTGCTCATACGGAGCGGGGGGCATGTCCAGGAGTAGGTCCAGCCGGGCTGGCTTGAAGAAATCCGGCCCTCTCAGTTCCCTCCTCAGGGGTCTGTAGGACGGCTCCCCTCGCACATCTACGGACTTGATGCTCCCCGAGATCTTCTGGCCCATGGCTTGGCTGGTTGGAAAGGGGTAGGGAGGAGGGGAGAGGGAAGGGGTGGTGCAACGCAGGGGCTGGGCTTCTGGGGTCCGCCGTTACCTCATCAAAGCACCAAGACGTCAGCCTGAAGCCCCCAAACCCCCGTCAGCGTCAGCGGTGGCGAAAGTGCCAGCCTTACTGAAGCCCTAGGAGAAAGCACACCAACATACAATGTCATTAAAACATCATCAAAGAGTCCGCGGGCTGGTTTTATGAGTGCATCTAGAACTAAAAGTGTGAATCTCAAAGGTGTTAAGGATAAAAATGGTAACAGAAATAAAGGAAGCACATAAATAAGAAGACATGAAGATGAGCAGAAAGAGAGGATCATGGCCAACCGCAGCCTGACAGCATGTGAGAGACTGCGATGGGGAAGGATGTAATAATGAGTGCTGCAGGTGAGAACGAGACACCTTCTGTATGACATACAGAAACACTGAAGACGCACATATTCACGAGATTCAATCACTTAGCAGATGTATTTTAATAAGGTACTTTTCAGAAAAAAAGGCAATAAATAAATATAAAAAAATAACTTGAAGAAAATGTGCCATAAGGTGCGGGTGACTACCAGAGCATTGCTAGGATATTTTCTGCGATTTTTACACCATTATTTTGCAGTTGCTAGGGTTTTCTGGGTGGTTGCTTGTTGGTCTGCATGATTGCAAGCAGGCTCAAGTCAAAAGAGCCCAAAATCCATATGATATTCTTCTCTCTAAATATGGCTTGGAAGTTCAATGTCTCCACCAATGTAAAATTATTTTGATTGTCATTATTATTATTTTTAATGGGCTTTTTCTTTTTTATAGATAGGACAGTAAAGAGACCACAAGAAATCATTATGAGGAGAGAAGGGGACGGGATCGGCAAAGGACCTCGAGACAGGAATCGAACTTGGGTCTCCGTGAGCGTAGTTGCACTGTAGGTCGATGCACTAACCACGAGGCTGTTGGCTATTGTGATTATTTTGATTGTTAATCTGATTGCATAAAAGTGTCATTATCAGTCTCTGCTCATTGAAATGCACATTTTTAGGCATCATTGGTGTCTGTATAACATAAAAGGCATGGGATAAGTTACGTGCAGAATATGTGCCTTAAACACTGCCTCAATAACTCTAAGTATGAGCATCAGCACTAGGAAAAAATGGAAGCCAAAATACGGCATTATTTATTTCTATGTTCCTGTGAGAAAGGGCGAGAGAAGGAAAAAGAGAGAACAAAAGAGAGAGATTCAGTTCGCATCAGCCTCAATGTCACAAAAATACCTCCACATTAAAAGCCCATTTTAAAGTGTGCTGGAGATGCGATACTGATGTATGAAACGCTAGCAGGAACTTCCTGCTACAGTAAGTGATGCATGGTCTTTTCCTGGAATAAGAAAGTATCAACCCACGAAGCAGCTATAAAAAAAAGACAGTTAGGGGATGTTTACATAAACTGTCTTATTATGTCTGTTGCATCTGACCGTTGCAAAGTATCTAGTGCCATGAATGCAGTTTCAAAGAAGAAGTCAAAACGTTCAACTTTGAAAAACAAAGCATAGTGATAAACAGCAGTATTTAGCTGTTTCCATATGTCAACGTTTATTTCACTACAA